GAGACTTGATATTGAGTTGCAGGTCAGGACGAGGTTCAGGCCTTGGCTCGTCAACTGGAAGTCCATGAAGGAAAATAAAAAGCGCTTGTCGTGCAGGAAGTGCGGACAGGGATTAGTCGCTTGTTGGGACCTAATGGGATTCCCAGGCCAGCACTCCTCCCGGCCATGACTTGAAGCTGAGGCGAGAGTTCGAGGCGGGCTTGAAAGATATCGGCTGCTTCAAGCTACTTGACCTGCATAGGCTTTGAGGCTTCAGGGGAAAAGGGCGTCGGTCCCTGGGTTCTGTGATCCATGAAGTTGGGCTAAGACGAAGAGGGAGCTTCATCTGCAAAAGCGCGCAAAGCTCATGACGGGCTGAGGTTCAAGGGCCCGAACGAGAAGGAACGGATCGGTGCAGTCTTCCGGTCACTCGTCTCTGAAGTCTGAACTAGTTTGCCATCCTCGCAAGCTCGTAGCCTTTTAGGCTTTGGACAACGCCTGAATAAGTCTCCACCCTAAGCGGCACTGGCTGTCCGATCGTGAGTGCCCATTGGTCAGCAATGTTGGTGGAGGTATGAGGCGTCGAGCTTCTGGTTTCGAGAGGTTTGTTACTCTGCCCTCTCAGCTTTGCAGTTTGGTCCCGGCGAGAAAACACTCCGAGCGACGCGATAGACCGGAGTCAACAACCCTTTCTGTGCAAGGCACAACGTTGAGCCCAAAGCCCGGGCAGGTATCTGGATCCAGGCGGCGAAGGCAATGTTTCTCTGCAGGAGTGGCAGATCTTGGACCAACTCTGGAAAGAGCACCTCGGAGTTTCAATATTTGAGGGTCGTTTGAACAGCTCCCATGAGAAAAGAGGGCTGTACTAGTAGCTTCCACTGACCCGCGGGTCCGATCGGACGCCGGCTTCGGCGCGATCCGCTAAACCTGCTCAAGCATGATGAACCATTGCTTTGAGCACAGGTTTGTGCTGAGCATCCAGGACTCTGGGCTCAGCATTGCTCGATCTACTCACCAATACAGGGAGGTGCAGTAGCACGTTCGGCCTGCAATGGTAATGAGATCAGCAGGGTAGCTACCCAGAGCAGCAGCAGCAGCAGCAGCAGCAGCACACGGTTGCATGCGGTCTTCCATGCGGACACATGCCATGCCTTGTGCAGATGCGGATGTCAAGAGGCAACGGCATGCAGCCATTTAGTACAAAAGGTCAATGCAGAAGAAAAGAACTTGTTCCCAGACTAATGCGTGTGCTTTATGCAGCATGTATTTGATGCTGTGCCCGTCTTGTTTTAACCTTCCGATGCTAGTCGCTCTCCTTCATGACCACTATTTCATTCGCTATTGATTACAAGCACTGCTGGCTGCCCGTCCCGTGCAGTAGGTACCATCATGACAACATGTTTGCTATTGCTAGTGTTTCGACGAAAAGTACAACAATCGCGTGCATCCTATCGTCACATCCAGCAAACTCCTGAAGATGTGAAGGCATTAGCAGAGGTTCAATGCAGCATCCCATGGGGCTCGAGTACGTTTGGAGTGTTATAGTAACTCATGCATGTGTTTGTTTAAACATTTGTCTGTGGAGGAGTTTGTGCAGTTCCTGATCTTTGTCTTTGGTGAAGACTTGGATGCTGAGCCGCAGAGATCGTAACCCTTGGTGTTTGACTTTGAGCTTGATGGGGATCTGTGTTGCTCCTTAGTGTGAAAATAGCTGCAACTCCCTGACAAAGTGGCCGCCGACGTACTTTCCACTAGACATGCTGCAAGCGGCCAGAGCCCGAATTCAAGTTTGCACTCTCCACAGATCTCATGCTGCAGGAAGAAGCTTGGATCACTCTGGACGACGACGAGAGTGGCGAGCTCTCCGAGGAGCTTCCTGGGCTGGTCTTTGTGCCGTGTACCGGATAATTTGGGCTCTTTCAAGTGCAGCCGTTAAGCTCCGTATAGTACACTTTAATTTGGATTCTGGATGTTTCGCATGCATCCAAGAACCGACAACTATGTAGTCGCAAAATGGTTCCTAGGGGCTGCACGTTGCAGAGATGTTTAGCAACGGCTTTGGCTCGTCAGTGCATCTTCGACATCATAGTAACCTTTCGGCCGGCCGTAAAACGGCGGAAGCTTCATAGCGCTGCACAACCACCATGTCTCGATTTGCCCCTCTGATCTCTTTACAGGACGAGTGGAACAAGGCCGTGGCCGACATAGGACCATGCTCCTTACGCTGCAAATCTGCATGCACGGGTAGTGCCTCTCATGAAGCGGGATCACAGGACTCAGGCTTCAGGCCGAAGGCTTCAGGCCCGAATTGAGCTTACGGGTCCCTCAGACCTTCGCCTCAGCTGCTTGGAAGTGTGTTTTAATGTAACCCCTTCTGCTTTGCCAAAGATCCAAGCATCACGGAGCAATGCCTGGGCGCGCAGGATACTTCGGCCCGTCTCGCGTGGTGTTCGCTTTGTCGCGTGGCACAGATTAGCACGAACCACAATAGGTGAATAGCTCCGGACAGCACACTCGCCTCCTTCAGCTTTATGCATGTATGCATGAGCAGTCCGTACCGCTTGTAACAGGGCGGCTTAGATCAGCAGACAGCGCTCCGAAGCGTTTTTGGCGGCTGGATCTTTTGCTTTGTAACAGAGCAGTTCATCTAGAGCTGGCCCCTTGTAGATGCTGTCTCAGAGTAGCACCTCTGCTCTTCCCAATTCTGGCTTTGTGAAAACTGTTTGTAACTCGATGCACAGGTTGGATGGTTCAGATGATGGGAACATCTCTTACGACGAGTTCAAAGTGTTGGAGAAGTACCTCGGCACTGACTAAAATACAAGAGGTCGGAATAGGTGGCAATAATATGCCTTGGGGCCCCTATTATTACAACTATGCAATAACTTATCGCAAAACCCTATTCCAAAGGCCCCAGTTGCTTGAGTTCAGGTGCTCCCATCACGGCAGTTACAAGGGCTGCATGCCTCGGGTATCTTTGGGTTCTCACACAGCGAAATTGCCTTTCACTGCTTCTTAGCCATCGAGCCCTAACTCCTTGGTCCAGGTTGGAGGTTTCTCGGCTTTTTCGAGTAGAACCTGATTTCCCATGGCCCCAAACCGGTAACCCGGTAACCGATGCGATTGGAGTTTTTGAAGCTGGTTTCTTTGGCCGGCCCAAAAAAGTGAGATAAGGAACATAGAGAGCTCGGCTGAGGTGAGGTGTAAACTGGATCCCTTTGCGAAACAGATGTTTCTTGTATGAGGGACGGTTTCTTTCTTGGCATGATCAGCGATGCAGTCGCTGAGGTACAGGCCCAAGCGCCAGATCGCAAAGAATAAGAAGAAGTAGACTGCCTTCTCCGAAGGACGTGGAACACAGAGCTCGGCGAGGGTTTATGTCTTCATGGCGTTGTCTATTCTTCTGGTATGCATGAATGGGCTGTCATCCTCTTGTGCGTTGTGCGAGCCCTCAGCTTCTGCCAGGACACAAGGCAGTGACATCAAGCCCCCGCAAACGGACGAGTGAACGTCCAGCGCACCAAGCCACCGGCTATCCCCTTTAGTAAAACTGCGGTCATGAACAGTTGCCAGCTTCATCACCTGCAGCTTGTGTACGAAGCTGCTGTGAATGCGGCTCTGCTTGCTACACCTACAGATGGACACAAAACGAGCAACATCCCCAAGTTGCTCGCCTGATTCGCCTGCCCTCGTGCTATGTTTTGGGACATGTGCTGACAAGCTCTAAGGCTTCCAAACTCCATGCCATCAGACCTCCTCAACTAGATGCTGTCACACTTGCGAGCTACATCGAGGGGCGTTACACCTGAGCATATCCAGGCTATGCTATGACTGTATGTCTATGTGTGGGGATATACATACATATATATACATATATATATATATATATGTACAGATATATATATATATATATATATACACTTCATACAATATTGAATACATGGTATATGCTACATCCTCTAAGACATGTTAGTCAGTTATGCATTGCGCTAAATGGTGTTTATACTGTGTTATACATTCTACTGCTTTCTGCGGTAGAATGCTGTGCCGTACTCCGGTAAACCATATTTCACTACAGCATGTGATGTTTCATTTGTTTCCTTTGACACTTTATTTAAGAGGCAAGTGACACGTCACATCATATAATACATTTTATGAGTGACAGAGGGTCAAAACGTTGAGAAAATGCCGGTGGCTGGGACATCGGAGCCTCGGCCCAGCGAAGCTGACACCGAAACTCCGCAGTTTGTTGCACGCAGGAGCCCCGGGATCTAAGTTGAATGTGGAAAGGAAGCAAAAGGATTCATGTGGGGACAAGGGTTCTAAAGGCTTGTGTAAGGGCTTGCACAGGGTTTGATCAGGGTCCACACTTATGTGATAATGCACCGCTATTCTAATTGTTGCGGCACCACAAGGCTCCTATAGCAGTATAGCGGTAGTGGTAGTAGTCGTACTAGTAGTAGTCGTCGTCGTCATAGTACTAGTCGTCGTCGTGGTAGTCATAGTCGTAGTACAGTAGGAGGAGTAGGAGTAGGGGTAGTCCCGGTCGTCGTCGTCGTCGTCGTCGTTGCGGTGGTGGTGGCGGTGGTGGTACTAAGTAGTAGGCAGCACACGTCATTTCGCAGGCTCCTGCGTGCCATGATTTCAGGCAGTCTGCTACCAGACTTCACGCGGCAGAGGTGCCGGGAGGCTTTAACCATCGAAAGCCAAAGAATCATTGATTTAGCATCTGCCCAAGCAGCATTTCCCCTCAAGCTTTGTGCCATCTTGAACATCTTTAAACCGTAGATGAGCTTATGAATATGGCTACGGCCTCGACCACGATGTCTCACTTCGAGGCAGTCGGCAGGCTTGGGAAAATTGGGTGGGTCCGTCCCTTTTTGATGACACCGTCCCGGTGAATAAACAGAAACCTACACAAAAGCAGCCCACATCCTCAAGAAATGTGCGGTGGATCGTCACAAAACTCCAAGACTCGAAAGCCATGCCTGAAGCCAAAAGCCCTGTGATGTTTCGCTGAGGCCGCGAAAGACGAGCCGGGTCCTGGTTTGGAGTTTGGGGTGCAGTGTTTGGCAATGCCTGCTGTGGGTAGTGCATTTGCTCGGTATTATGGGCAATTACCACAACGTTTAAGCAAAGAGGCCGGAAGGATTTTGCCAAGAGTCGCTGTGCGCGCTGTAGAAGATTGGTTGCAATGCAGGAGTCCGCAGGAGATGGAATCGGAGGCTTCGGATTTCGACTCTCGAGCGTGTCACGGTGTTCTTGTGAATCTTACGTCAGCGCAACGACGTAGCTCTACAGCTAACTTCGTGAGGCCGATCTTTCGTACACATGGTTCTGCGCTGCTGTTGGTAAGGCAAGGCAGTTCATGCGGTCAGACTACAAGTAGCAAGCCAAGCTGGCCCTGTTCCTTCCTGACCTGGGGGTGTTATATTTTGTGCTCCACCTTGTCTTAGCAAGCGTCAACTAGGGTGCCCTCAAGCACCCTCAAGCAAAAAGCTTCTTCACAACGCACACACACACACACGACATCCCTGTAGCGTGAACCCAATTTCTCGAAGTATCTCACACTTACTCAGCGTTCCGCATCAATCGGCACGGGTACTGACATGATTCCACAGTGAAGCATTGTTTCTGTTGCACCCACACGCACTCATCACACCCCGCAGAAAGAACCTATTACCCTTAGCCCCATCCTTGCCCTAGGTCCCGTGCCATGGAGACGTTGGATGGGGCGCCCGTTACGGCCTGCGGCCAAGCGTCAAGCTTTGAGCCATTTGCACGTCTCTAATCCTGCCACGATTTAACGGGTAACGTGTAACCTTTTCTCTTGGGCAGCTCAGCAAGCGGAGAGTTTAGGGTGTCGAAGAAGTTGACCTGCGTTTGACTTCTTTCCCAGCTGGAGACTCAGACGCCTTCCAAAACGCTGGAATGAAGAGGTGGAAGCTGACCAAGTCGTCCACTCCTAGCCTTTCCGTTACATTACGGGATCGCATGCTTGCAGCGCTGCGGCAAGCTTCGGCATGTGGTGTAAGGGCCACTGACGGCGACGAAGACCCGTGTCAGGGCGAAGGGTAGCAATGCTGAATGAATCATGTCCGGAGCGTGTATCTCGCAGATGTCACTGTCCGAGAGCTGTTTTGTGAAGTTGTGAACTCGCATCTTCTGTGTTCTCCGAGGCCAATACGCTTGTCACTGTCTGCGGTATCAGTAGCCTTGCCAGGCTTGTCCAAGTTGTGAGTGCTGAAGAAAACCAGCCAAGTCGAAGCCACAAGCAGTAGTTTTTCAATACGTCTCAGCTAGGTAGGCTGGTGGTTATCCGGCCTGAACGCAGCCCTCCATCACGAAAGCCTAGATGTAAACTCCTCTGGCACATCCGAAATGAGCGCGCCAAGTTACGAAAACCCAAACTTCCACCAAGAAAGCCAAAGCTTTAATGGAAGTGGTGCGCATGGCGAATATTCTGACTTATTGTTGTTTTAACCTTGCTAGCGGCTCGTGCAGCAAGCAGGAGGCAAAAATGCCGAAGAAAAGACCCAAACCGAAATCAGCAAAGCCACCACCCTCCAAGCCCTTCGATTTGCCTCGTTCCTAATAGTTCTCTACCGAGGTCGAGGAGTTGGCGGCTGCCGAAGCAGCCGAGGCATGACCTGGTTCGTGGTTTAGGGTACTGGGGCTTGTGGGGTTAGGGGCTTCTGGGGTTGAGGCTTCATGGTTTCAAAAAAATCCTACAATTCATATTTTGGAGATGTTTGGAGCTTTGGGGTTCAGGCCTCTGGATATTGAGGGTTTGGGGTTCATGGTTCAGGTTCAGAGTTTTGGGGTTCGGTTCTCAGGGTTTGGGGATAAGAGTCGTAGCAATCAGCAGCTTTTGATTGAACGGCCTCTATCGGAGTATTGCGGCGTGCAGCTGTTAGGGCGCAAGAAGATGCATGGAAGGAGCTACAAGATCCCAGACACGTCTGCATTTGCGGTGATTCCAGGCTGCAGAACAGGCTGCGCGGCGGGCGAAGTCTGTGCCGCTGCTAAGGCCACCTCAGCTTTATGAAGACTCTCTATAGTCGTTGCTTGTACGTATCTGTACACGTGCTATTCAGGTGGAAAGAGGGATAGATATCGAAATAGACGATGTCTGTTTAAATGTGTATACTGCATATATGTACATATATTTATATGTGTATATACAATGCCTACATGTGTATATATATATAATGCCTACATACAGTCTCATACATACAATACATACCTGCTTACCTACATTTCCATTTCCATGCTGTCAGAGGAAGTACGCAGCTTAATTAATTGCAGGGGTGTTCCCTCAGTAGCTGGAACGGTCCAGCTAGCGGGCCTCGCCAGAACTCAGCAGGAGCCCTGAGCTGTACAGCCCGTCCTTGCATCAACTCCTGCCAAAGGTCCTTCAGAACCGACGGCAGGAGAGCGAGTGGATCATCTAGCACGGCCAAGCTGCCGAACACTTCCCTACTCTTCCCCCACTCAGCTTCCCAGGTGGAAGGCAGGATGTACAAAGTGCTAGGTTGGGTCCCGTGCATAGGCATCACTCGCTTGAGCTCCTGGTCCCATTGGATCTCCTGGAGCAGTTGTTGAAAGTCTTCAAAGGTCTGGCTCTTCTCATGCTGTGGCAGTGCTTCGTCCGGAGCGCTCCAGACCACCGCCGATACAGCTCGACAGGCAGATTGCATGACATCTAGTGTCGCCCTGCTCCATTGTCGTGGTATATCACTTTCAAAAACAAACTCCATCTCGGTCACCAAAAGGGAAAGGGCATCGCAAATCTCGTCTGGGTAGAGCGGGTAGCATGCAAGGGCACTCTTGATCACATGCTCAAAGTCACCAGCCTCAGTGACCTCAAAAGCTGCCTCGCACAGGTCCTTGTAGTAGCTCGTCAGATGAGGACCCCAGCTGGTCTCCTGTGCTGGCTCCCTCATAGGTCCAACACGTACTGGAGCAGCAGGGGTGTATTGCTCAACATCAAGTTTTCGTCGTCGACGACTACCAAAACCTGGCTCGACCGGGATTGCACAACCACTGCGTCGGAGGGACTCGACACAACGAGGGTAAGCCCGAAGGTGCGCAGCCAGTCGTCCATTGGACCAGAATTCCTTGCCACACGCCGCGCAATACGACCCTGTAGCGAATCGCCGATACTCAGCTACCCGCTTGTGCGTCTTGAAGTAGTGGACACTGAGCTTCGCCTTGGTATCGAAGGACACCCCACACATCCAGCACTTCCAGAACGGTCGCCGCGGGACATCCTGTGCGACCTTAGGTAGCGTCCGATACATGGCCCATTGGCAAACTGATACAACATCAGCCGCGCATATCTCCTTGTGGGCGGCCTTGAGACGAAGGGCCACCCGTCTCTTAAACCGGGCAGTCTGATCGCGGATGAGAGTGAACCACTCTGGCCACCCTGCTGCACCTAGTCGCGGCCATTCTGCAGAATCGCAGTCAACAAGCCACTTCAGGTCACCACAAAGGGTCTTCAACCAACTACCCTCAGCTTGGAGGGTGGCCCATAGAAGGTCTGGGCCAGCCACGACCAAGGATGCCAGTAGACTTAAGCGCGCACGGCGCGCAACCAGGTCGAGCTTCCAGCAGCCTGTCGCGACATGTGCCACCACAAGGGGGACTCGAAAGATTCTTTCCCCTTTGAAAGTGGGGGCAAGCAGTCGCCTGACCAACCTTGAGTAAGCGTTGTTCAACATCCTCCAAGCTCGGCCAACAGGGATCCACAAGCCAATGTTGAACAACGAGGTGGTGACAATGGTGCTGAAGATCCCAGCCCTGGTTTCCAAGGCAAGGTCACGGCGGCAAAGGAAGAGCCGGCTAGAGTCATCAAAGGCCTGGGTAGCCAGAGCGATTCTATGTCTGGCCTCCACCACCATCGTGTTGTTGACATCGAGGAAGCCACCGAGGTGGCGATACTGTGGCACGAGTGGCACCGTGATGTCAAGTGTTGCTATCCGCAGTGTCGAGGCGCCATCAGGAAACTGTTGTCGTCTAACTCGAACAGAGCCACGACCACTCAGCCTCATCAACAAACTGGTTTTTCCAACCTTCATGTTCGGTGTGAGGCCCACAGCTTGGCATGATCCAATAACCACCTCACACAATCTGGTCGCCTTATGCAGGAGCTGCTCCGCATCAGTTGCAACCGTAGGGAAAGCACTGTCGTCTGCCCACGTTCCATCCCATGACGTCTGTTCAAGACCAGCTGTGCCATCAGCATAAATTCCAGTCTCGGGGTCATACGGCACTTCAAAGGCCAGTCCTTCCGTGGCAGCAATCTCATAAATGGAGCAAAGGAGCTTCGCATACACAAATCCGAAGATCGTGTCCGCGAAGGACTCGCCTGGTCTGGATCCGGCAAGTGTTTTGCAAGCTTGTCGGCCGTCCGTGAAGCGCGTGGTAAACCACGTGTTGTAGTGGAAGTCGCGGATGACTTGACGGAGAGCCGGTGGGACACCGGCAGCATCCATAATGCCTCCAGCGGCTACCGTTGCCATGAGTTCTTGCAAATCTTCTGGTGGAAGATGGAACCGCTGGAAAAGCTGTATGACCGTGGAGTCGCGACAAATGTCACCAACAGCAAGTTCTCTGCACACTGCATAGTAGGCACTCTTGGTATCCAAGAATAGCACAGCATAGCACAGCCCATCTCGAACACACCGTCGAACATGAGACAGAATGTAGAGCTCAGGGAATTGTACTGGAGCTTTCCGTCGCGGCCCACAGTGCAAGGGGTGGAGCATGCGGTGGGTGTGGCACTGGATTTTGTCCCGGACAAGGCGGTGGAAGCATTTGCCGAGGGCACTGCTCACAAACAAACTTCTGTAGTTCGAAACTTCGCGATTGCTGCCAGCATTCTTGAAGGCTTCAAACAATATGCCTCCTCTCCACTGCGTTGGTTGCCTCGCCCAAAGCATAGCCTTTGTGAAGAGAGGATGAAGAACAGCTGCAAGTTCCTCATGCGCAGTAGAAAGCACATCGCCAGGAATGAGGTCCAGCCCGGCTGACTTATGCCTGGGAGTGGTCCTCATCAGCCTCTGGACATCAGCAACCGTGGGGAGGAGCTCAATCGTCCATTGAACCTCGTCAGTTGGCATGGGCACAGCGGCTTGCTCAACAAGGGTAGTGGTGTCGAGAACGAATCCTTGTTCCTGCTGGCCAAAGTAATCCAACCAGACCCGATCTTTAGCCGCTCTATGTCCAACAAGTTGGCCATTCGCAGGGTCAAGAAGGGCAGGAAGTGGTCGCCGTTTTTGGCGAGCCGCTACACCACCAAAGCCAGCCGCTTTGGCCCGTCTGAGCAGCTGGGCCGCACTGTGGTGCCCCTCGCCCAAGACCTCTCCAATGAACCTCTGGCGCCCCTCAGCTACTCCCTTGCGAACACGGGCAGTGGCGAATCGGATAGCCGCCGCCGAGAGCTGGTACAAGAGCCCCTGTTTTTGGACCAGAAGGCCAAGACCAACATCACAACCGGTACGCCATTGTCGGAAAGCCCAGGAGACTAGGTCAGACCACAAATGCAACCTTCCTCTCGTGGCGCGTTTCAGCCGCATCTTGGCCTCTCGGAGCTCCCAAACACTCAGGGGGATGTAGGTGGCCTTGGCTCCATTCCGATCGACCGAGAAATGTTTTTGAAGAGTCTCAAGCAGCATGTCCTGAATCAGTTGACAGTGCTCATCAGGCGTAACATCCCACTTTGGCTGCACAAAGCTGCGGCAAGCCTCTAGCAGAATCTGGCGGCCCTCATCAGAGGCGATTTTTGCTCGATCAAATTGGGGGCGCCATAAAGTAGCTCTTGGCGGTGCGCGCTGGAAGGTGCCAGAGAAGGTCAGGCCAACCAATCTGTGGTCCTCCCTCGGGGCTCCAGTGTCAAAGTCAAGTAGCACCCGGCTGTAAGCACGGAGGCAGGAAGACCGGCCTCCAATGGCAATGAAATCAATGCGATGTTCTGACCCACTCGGGTGGACAAAAGTGTTGTCTTCCCCAACATGTAGGTGACGGTGTGTTGCTGGGAGCCAAAGGGAGGCTTTCTCCAGCACACGAACAAAGCGCCGTCCAATTGGATCCGGCTGTCCACATTCGACTGGCCCCGCCCGTAATGTCTCCAAACAGAGCCGGAACACGACCATTCAGGTCAATTCCACATATAATCAGGTCCGCTCCCTTCATTTTGGACAGTTCCGCTTCAAGAACATCCAGAAAACTCATGCTCTCCGGGCCTTTAAGAGCATGAGGGCAGTGGGCAGCAATCAGGTAGATGGAGAGCTGGGCTGGTCTTGCTTTCAGGATCAAGAGCCGCGTATCTTCAAACTGGACCTCCAAGTCATGTTCATCAACTTTCGTGGGCCTCCCATCCAGAGAGAACAGACCAAGTTGACGATGGATCCAAATGGCCGTGCCCCATCGAGATAGTGATTCAGAATGGAGCCGCAGATATCTCTTGGATTGTAGCAAGCCCATCGGGGACTTGGTCTCCTGAAACATGATCACATTGAAAGCCTCATGGTCAAGCTGGGCCTCGAGGTAGGCAGTCTTACCACCAAAGCCCTGAACATTCAAAGTCCCCGCAGTGAGCTCGAACGAAGGTGGTTGTTGCCCAGAGTTGCGATCACCTCCTTGGACAGGGACCAATTGGTCCGGTCGAAGCCGGAAACCATCATCGCGGAATGCTCCCCATTCCAAGCATCCTCTGTGAACTTTGTAGGCCTGAGAGCATGCCGCTTTAGCTTCAATCGCAAGCCAGGAGAGGTCCAGTGTCAGAAACTCACGGCAAACTTCAACTGGGGGGGCACCAAAGCGGGCCCTGCCAGCGGAGGCCTCCTTTGCTAAAACATCAGAGAGCTCGTTCCAAGGATTCCCCTCATGTGCACGCACATGGGCGAAGTGGAGGTCGAGGCCGGGCTGCTCACGAAGGAACAGCTCAAGCAGGTGGCCCTGCTCACCAAATTGATCCGGTGCCTGCCACCGTCCACTAGCAGCGTAGCCAGCAGACATGCAGTCAAAATACAGCGTACAGGAGAAGCATGGCATAAGGGCGCGAAACTGCATGACCCAAAGCATCGCTACCGTGATCGCAACTTGCTCTGCTCGAAGAGCCGGGGGAGCGTCAAGTGGCCAAACTGATGACGCGCCCAGCAACTGGTCGCTGATGACGCCAAGAACCGCGACACAAAGACCAACTCTTAGCAGAATCGTGACTGCAAAACCACTCTTGGTGGAATCTTTGTTGGCAGAGCCGTCCGTGTAGATCTCAATCTTGAGCAGGTCATTCATACTGTGTCGGGCCAATAATACTGACCACGGCACCGTTTGGGCAAGAGCCTTCGTAGTCGTCTCTTTCAGAGGCAGCCCATCGAGATCGAAGTGCAACCACGTGGGAGGCCAGGGCTTTGGATGCGTAGTCCAGGCTGGCGGCACATTCGGTAGTTTCAACGAGTCGATCGTTAGGTCGTACGTGGGGACCGGGAGCTCGGCCGCTATTGAGATCGTGGTTGGCGATGCCAAAGGTCCAAACACAGTGCCACCTCGTCGAGCGGGGGATCGGCTTCGTCCACGTCGGGGGGCATTGACAGGTTCAGGAGGCGGAGGGCCCCAAGGGCCGGGACCATTCGGAGCGCCGTCAGAGAGATCAGAGGAATCAGGGAGGGCATCAAAGGTAGAGCTGCTCTCCCCATCTTCGCAGTCATCATCTGCTCCATCATCGGGGTCCCCACTGCTGCCCTCCTGCGTTGGGGTAATTGCCGCCGTTTGGCGGAGGACAATCTCAAGGACCTCTCCGTCTCGCACTTCCACAAAACCATCTTCTCCATGAACACGACCTCCATGGATCACCACGGAGAAGCCCTCAACCAACTCAATCTGCAGGTCCTCAACGTATCGCCCCGGATGGAAATGGGGCCCGTCGACAGTTGTCCATTGAGGCCAATGCCCAACACCACGAAGATCCAAAAAGATGACTCTCGCAGATTCAGAGGGGTCAGCCTGTCGGGGCACAACAGCGACCAAAGAGTGCACACTGGCACCTTTCCAGCAAAGTCTGCCCGGACGGTCGGTAGGGGCTCTCAATCGGAAGGCGCCCTCGGTTAAGCCAAAAGCCCATGCTGCGACCTGGTGTGGACTGTTGTCACGATCTCGCCGCGCATGGTGAATGTACTGCTCCTCCGGGGACTGGAAAGCAATCATACCTCGGCCACAAGACGGAGGAGGGTCCGTACGTGGATCCCATAAATCTGGACGGTCAAGTCGGTCACGAAGTTCTCCTGACCACTCAATGACCGTACCCCGCGGCACCACCTTCACAAGGGATCCAGAGACTGGGAGGCGGCTCTCAAGAGGTCCCAGAGGAGCCAAGTCACCTCCCACAAAGACCTCGAAGGGCTCAGCGTAGCCCTTGCCTGCTGCCTGCAGTGCCACACCGCGTGTCAGCGGCCCATGTAGGTAATGAGCGAAGACGCCTCCATCAGCAAGCCGGGCATCTATAGCAACAGCTGTACAGCTCGAGTGCGGGAGCCATTCCGGGAGCAAAAGGAAACTAGCAAAGTCCGCGTGGATCTGCGGCACAGTGGGGGAAACGTAGCCCAGCCAGTTCTGTGCAGACTCATTGCGGGCGTCTCGCACAAAGTCAAAGAGAGTCTCAGCCGTCGTGGGGAAGGGCACAGCAACTTGTATCATTTCTGGCTCCGAGAAGGGCGTGAGGACCCACAACGAGATATGCCTCGCCCTGACTGGCTCAAATCCATCTGGCGGCCATTCCTCCTCAGGCTCCTCTTCATCAAGTGGCTCGGGGCCTGTCGGCGGTAGGACCGGTGGTCCTTGGCGGTGGATCGCAGCTGGGTGTAACCCTGCACTCAACAGTGGCTGGCTCCAAATCATCTGGCTCTCGGCAACTGTAAGCTGTTCAAACTCGGACCGCTGGTGTGCCAGGAAGCGAGGGTCAAGGCGGCCTCGGCCGCCAATCCTCATTGGGCTGGAGACCCCACAACGAAAAAGGCCGAATGCCAGGAGCGGTCGGATGGGCAAAGGCAGCCGACTTGTTCCCTTGCCAGCGCGATGGAAGGGGTGTCGTTTCCTTCCATATATTGGCAGCAGTGTACATAATGCGACCAAGAGGACGAGGAGTACTGATAGAGCCAGGGAGGTGGTCGTCGGTGCAATCAGGACCAAAGCAGCACCGAGCCAGAGGACGACAGCATCAAACATCATTTGCTGTACCTCAAGTATATCCCAAAATCGTCCGGGGCTCCAGCCATGTGGTACAGCTCCGTGATCAAACCGATCAACAGATTCACCACATCCACCAGGGCTCGGAACCAAAAGGTGATCTCCCCAGTCATCATTGACCCAATGACCGAGGATCTGTACTGTATCACTGAGAGGAGAGACAGGCCGAAAAAGCTCTCCATTCATACCAGCTGGGTCATAGTGCATTCCCAACCGCAAGCTGCCCCCGACGAAGCAAGCCTCAGCCGCCAAAAGGGCAGCTAGATTTCCGGGGGTCCATTGCTCGCCTGGTTCTTCGCCAGGGCAGCAACCGATGTCTCCTCGTCGTCGTCCTGCACGACCTCCACATTGTGTGCCTCTCTCACCGCTGCAAGCTTTTGGCCCAAAGAGCCGCTGACAACAGGCCTGCTGGGGTCTCTGCCTTTCTCCTTGATAGGTGTTCGCCTGGTAGAGGACCGAGATCTTCTCCTCGCCGGTGAGATCGATGGGGTAGGCGCCGAGGTCCTCGTTGAGGGCGAGACCTGATATGGGTCTTGGAGCGCAGCCGAGGCCGGGCTTGCTCCAAAGCCAGGCGCCTCCTTCCCAGCAACCATGGCCTCCAAAAGCGGAGTAGTGGAAGCCTTCCGTGGAGTTGTCTTCAGGGGAGTGAGCGGCGCAACTGTCGGCCTCCTGGGCGGTGTTGTGGCCACCACCTCTCGCAAGCGGCTCCTCACTTGCTCGACAGCCGCCGAAGTCATCTCCTCGTCGCTGTCCTCGGTGCCTTGCAACAAGGCATCCCATTCCAAGTCCACCTCTGGCGGCGGAGCCTGCGTCCTGGGTTCCACGATCTTCTCCGGGTTGGCCATCGCCTCCTGGAGCTCTGCGAATGCAGTGGTCTGGGCATCCTGACATTCCTGGAGGGTCTGCTTCGCTTTCAAGGATTCCTGGCTGTGTCGCTCGCGACCCTTGATAAATTTCTTCTTGAGCTCGTCCTGGAACTGGACCCAGTCGGCTTCGATCCTCTCGCAGTCCTCCGTGGCTTTCCGAGTACGGACCTCCGCTTTCCTCGCGACGGTCACAAGCCGCTGCACTGCCTTGACCAGGCCTGCAGCTGCCGTAGGTTGCTTGGCTCTCTCTTCCACAGGAGGTGGCCGCGGATGGTGAGCTGCTGGCCTGGTGTAGGTTGGGTACTCGTAGCCCTCCCAGTCGTGGCTGTCCTCCCATCCACCATACGAGGCTGAGTCCTGCCAGCCGCCACCACGTCTGCCTGTGCCGTTTTCGTTCCACTGGCCCCATTGTGGCTTCTTTCCCATCGACTTGAAGGTCCGATACACAGGGCAGGAATGGTGCGCCTCAAGGAGTCGCACGTCTCTGCTCCAAGGCTGCAGTCCTTGGCAGCGAAGTGCCTTGATGCGGCCACGGGCAGCTGAGCGCTTACGCCTCTGCAGTCGGTGCCAGCCAGGTGACTTCACTATGGCAGCGTGCGCTTTTCGCACTGGGGACTGGGCAATGCGTCGGGCTACCCTTCGCTCGATCCCAAACCCTGCTTACCTACATACATACATACATAGGTCCTTGCAGTTTATGTTTTTAAGGTTCAGAGTGCATCGCCCTCAGGCGAACGCACAGGTCCTGATGCAAAAAGGTGTGATGTGCTTGATTGGTTCACTTCTAGAAGCCATTGTAACTAAAGCTGTGAGCGCCAAATGATGTCCACCCCCCTCCGGTCGCTCACCATCAAATTGTTGCAGGCCCCGAGCCTTGAGGTGGCGTGAAATAGCTTGAGAGCAAAATGCCGCCTGTTCTGCATCGGAACGTCCATGTGGGAATTTGGGGAAGTCGGAGCTGCGACATGGGAAATATGCAGAGAGTACTTAGATCCCGGTGCGGTAACAGTACATGAGATCCTCAATTACCGTAGCCACGACTATCAGCAGGGCGATCACAACAGCCATAACAAACTCAAAAGCTGCGCCCGCTGCCGTCACCGCTAATGCCAGCCGTACCGCTGCCGCTGCGGCGCACCACCACCACCACCGCCACCACCACCAACAGCACCACCATCACTGCTGCAGCCCATAGCACAAGGAGCAGTTCAAACCCGCAGAAGCACTGCTCCGACACCACGTCCACAACAACGAGTAAGATGAGGCACAGAAAGCGGAGGACGACGATTCCGAGCTGTGCTCGAGGGGTTATGGTCAGGGGTCTCCCGCGATGCACTTACTTTGATGAGCACAGTGCTTGTCAAGAGAGGCGGCCAAACTGTCGGACAAGGCGCCATCTTCCTGTAGCTTGTAACAGGTTCTACACACGCTCGAGACTCCTGCAGGGCGGTCAGCCACATACTTTTGTTGCCCGTTCCATATCCAAGCGAGAATGATGCATATCAAGGTTGCCGTCTGCCCTTTCCGGCTGCCAGAGATAGCACAGAAATAGGTGCTTGAGTGACATATCCGGCTGTGAGTCACTAGCCACACAGAGGGCGGGTGCATTGTGTCGAAGAGTCTCGCTGCTGCGACATGTAAACTTGCAACATTTCAGTGTTGAGTAGCTTGCAGCAGAACGAACAGCCCTAAGACCAGCAACACTGGCCGAGTGAAGCTACTGCACTTGCTTGCCATTATTCCGCGGAAGCTCGCAACTTCGAGGACAGGGCGGCCTTTTGTGTGCAGCTCGGGGCCCTGACGCTAAAATCTCTGAAGCGAAGCCAAGCACAGCACAAATCCAGCAGCCATGGCTTCAAAGTTTAGATCCTCAGCTTCGAAGCCTTTTGAGGAGATGCCGGCAGAGCGTGGCCAGGACGGGCGGGATGCAGCGCTACTGACTAGACTCTTGGATACGTCAAGTTTCGGACAGCTTCAGTGCATGCTCATCGAAGCTGGCATGCAGCACAAGTGCGAGGAGTTCGATTCCAACGAAGACTGAAGTTTCCGACAAAAACCCGTAAAGCCTTCAAAATATTCGGTGACCGAACCCTGATAAAAAGCTTACCCAGAAATGACACAGAAGCCGTCCTTCCTTGGTCCAAGGTGAGCAGAAGCTCGAAGAGGCTCGTGCCCGGATCAACGGCGCCACACGTGCAGCCCTCGCCGCTCGGTGGCGACAGTGTGGCTTCTGATGCTGGGGCTAATGCTCATCATCATCACCATCAAAGTCACAACAGTGCAAACAGGAATGAAGTACAGCCTGCACCCGTGCCAAGCCAGTCCACGAGACGAGTCATGCGGGAGCCAAGAAAAGAAAAAGAGCAAGAATAAGAATCATCGTCTTCGTCATCACCACACTATAGTACTACTAATAGCCATACTGACAAAAACGAGGAGTCACCGGGAAGCGTCTTCATTGCGTGGTTGCCGAAGTCCAGAACTACCAGAGGAGTGGAGAGCAATCGAGTCCTTAGCGCAAGCACGTACCGAATTCTTCTGAAATTCTGCCCAGACTGGGCTCTGCTGGAGCAGACTGTGACCAGTGGTTGTGCTTCGCTCGAGGACACCAACCGCAGCTAGCCGCTTGTTTAGGCCGCGATCATTTACAGCACTTTTCTGTCGAGAATACAAGAGCCTGAAGCTGAATCAGCCTTAGAGTCGTAGAGTGTAGAGGAAGTTGCGTCCGCAGATCTGCAGTTCAAGTCCGCGGCAATGAGAGGCCCAGGGCCCGGCTAAAAGAGCGCTGGGAGTTTCACGACTCGCCAAATTGCGAGAGCCAAGTCCCAGCCTCCCAGCCGCTAAGGGCGGCCCGACCGGATGGAGGAGGATGCGGATGTTCCTGTTGAACACCCTGAGCCTAAAATGCTTGGTTCTTCTTGCGAAGATTCGGATGCAGAGGAGTTCTCGGATGTTTTGGTCTCCTTACCATCAGCAAGTGCTGAACTTGCACCCCACATCCAGGGAGCGATTGACTACATGTCTGAATGAAGGCACTTCCCGAAATCCTGCGTGGACTCCGGATATGCGACTTTCTGAGATATGCACCGTGGTTCTGGTGGCGACGTGAGTTGTGGAAGCTGTACTACTTAGCCGAACCTTTCGACACCTTGGAGGAATTCTGGTCCCACAGCTGGCGGCTAGCAGCATGGACGAAGTATGTGAATGTGCTCTTTTTGAAACATGCCTTTCCAGCATCCTTGGTGGGTCTGATATGTGCCACGGTCGCCTACGCTCTCTTCCTCATGGAACGTCTGCCAAAGTGGACGCATGGTCCCTACGCTTGTAGCTGGTGTTCCTTTTCAGCAGCAGGGGCCTATGTCTTGACAATGCTGTTCTGCCGCCGATATACGCACGTTTTCCTCGACGTCGCTTGCATCAAGCAGGATGACCCTGTCTTGAAGGCTCAGGGCCTTCTCAGCTTGGGTGCTTGGTTGAAGAGATCGAAATCTTTGGTGATTTTATGGGATCCGTCTTTCAGTTCGCGCCTATGGTGTGTCTTTGAACTGGGAGCTTACCTGCACAGCCATCCCAAAGATTCAAAGCTCACAGTTGCCCCACCTCTTCAAGGGGCCATCTGCCTGGGGACCCAGATCGGGATGGCTGCAACATTGACTCTATCACATCTGGGGAAAGGGTTCGAGATGGTAAAAGTGGTGCTCTTGTTTACTGTCCTCTTGCCATGCGGGATCCTACTGACACATGGGCTTCGTGCCTATTGGCGCAGCATCGATGTGATGAAACGTCAGGCTTCCAGTTTCACGTTCGAGCAGGCCACGTGTGACTGTTGCGAACGGGGTCGTCACGAACGAGGCTTGTGTGACAGGGACATCATCGGAAGGTGTGTTATCGCTTGGTTCGGATCCATTGGAGCATTTGAAAGTCGAGTGCGAATGGAGATGGAGGTGGCTCTGGCGCACCAGCTTGCAAATGCGGCCTTTGCCTATCATCGCCTGGTGTTAGCAGTGATGCCTTGGCTGTGGTTACAGATGGATTTAAGCGCCAGTCATGTTGGAGAGTCCAGCGATTGGACACGTTGGGTTGAGCTCAGCAGAGCAGTGACGCTTGTTTTCGGAATCTATCCCTGCACGATGAAGCTTCTATGCCAGACTACGTTCCTCCTTCGGGCCAAACATTGCAGCACATGTGTTGACATGCTGCTGTCAGCTGTGGCTCTGGTCTCTCACTTGTGGGCTGCCAGCGGCTTAATTACGTTGGAAGAATATGTCGTGTGGTTTCTTGTCGGCCACCCATATGGACCAATCTTTGGCGGCTTAATTTCCTGGTCTATGTGGAGCATTGTCACTTTGCTATTGTGGAAGTGCTTACCGGTTCTCCACTGAATGCCCTGGGTGCAACTGGTCTTCTTTCTTGATCACTGACGATGGTGCGCTACCTTTGCTGCAGTTTCTCCCAGGCTGCGCTAGCACATTTAGCCTGAACACTGATGTCACGATGCTGTTTCATAGATGCCCTGGATCGCATGTAATGTAAAGATGCAAGCGCTTATGCATGGAGCCTGAAGGCTGCATGCATTGCAGAAAGCCAGCCATCCCTCTCTGATCCAGGTTGGATGATGCACATGAAATAGCGCTTCTTTCCATCATTTAAGTAACACCATGAGAACTCTGCATTCGAGGGGTGCGGTTGTCGTCCATTGCGATGGACAGTTGATCTTGTGGTGGACAGAAGCTGGCGAAAGAGACAGAAGTCTCCCCCATCTTTTTTAAAGTTTGGCATGGCGTGCTTTCAGGCCCTACTGAAAGCCCGTGGTGTATGCCATCGTTTCACCACTTGACATGCAGACTCTCTCGGCGTGCCAAGCACGCGACTTTCCTCTCTGGGCCATGGAGGCGCAGGTGACCACAGGCAAAGGAGCCCAAAGTCCGTCGCGCAACTTTCAACAAGTTGGGCATGGCATGGAAGGGGCTGTCAGGATGGGGCTGTCAGGCCCCACTGGAACTCCAGCCAGGTCTGTGGGTTTAAGGTCTTATGTGGACCAAACACAACTCTTACTGATGCTTGCAGCGAGCACCTGACATCTCCAAGCGGCTCTAGCCCCCAAGAAAGGGGGGGGGGCCTAAGCCCTGTGTAAGTGAGCACCGCTTGCTGAAGCGACGTTCCCGATGTTTCCGACAGCGGCTTGCCACTCGAGGGAAGTCTAAAGCCGATGCTTGGCCATGATGAAAACACAAACGACTCCTTAGCGATTGGTGGTTAGTTGCCCCGAGCTCTCGAAGTAGGCCGGGGAGGTACAGGAGACGAATCAGTCGCTGTTTGTGCCACCATACTACCGCTTCGCCCAAAATAGCATAAGCTGTGAGGGCACCATTCTGATGTTTGACAAAGTTCTGCTTCAGCAATATTATAGCCCTGAAACCTTTAAACCTAACCAAAGCCCAAACCGAAACCCACAACCCAGGAAACCGAGGAGACTGGCTTCCAGGTTCTCGGCGCCCCGGCAGAGCCCACCAATGCTTTCCTATGATGGTACTGAAATGGCTTCTGAGTCCAGAGGTGTGCTAGATTCAGCAGTAGTAGTAGTAGTAGTAGTAGTAGTAGTAGTAGTAGTAGTAGTAGTAGTAGTAGTAGTAGTAGTAGTACTCGCATTGTACCGCGACGCTGAAGCTTTCTTCTCGCATTCCATTGCGAGCAACTGCAGTTTGGAAATGCCTCGCAGATTGATCTGAGGTGAACTGGCCAGACAGCGTGAGGGCATCGAGAGGATCAACACTCACGTGCAAGTGATCTGACATTTGTTGAGCAGTCGACAGTTGCTTGCCTCTGCGGACTCGTTTCACTGCATAGATCTGGTTTGATCTTCCATGGCCTCTTGCATCTGAAGTGGCGCAGGACTACAGGCTGGCTGTTTTCGCAACACCACACCATCCAATTAGCCTGCGCGAGCCGAGGCCACTGATGACAATATCTCTGGCGCACGGAGAGTGCTGGTTCAGATGTACCGGAGGGCCATGGCTGCTTGACCTACCAGGGGCCAGGAGGGGATTCCGGACAGTCTCGGGATGATCTAGCACCGTTTCTTCTTAGCATGTGGAACTTTGAGAAGCTTTCCGACTCAGCTCTTTAACACAGTTCGAAGCTTCGACCCGATGCTCAAATGCATTTGCATGATGCAGCCGAAGACCCTCTAGTGACTTGCACAACCCGCAGACGGCCAGAGTTTAGCTACTGTTCGGATTGAAAGACAGCAGCTGCGCACAGCCACGTAAAATCAGGAAAGCTGGGTGCATATGTAACCGCCAAGCCCAGGCCAAGAAAATCGCATTATGGTGCATGGTGCTTATCCTCCTTGTGACCGTTATTGTCATCATCTACTTCATGATCTTCAAGCATCCGAAGAAGTGAGGCAAAGCTTGAGCAGAGCTGCTCCTTTAGCGCCCCTGCCCCAAAACCGAAACCTTCACCAGAGTTCCGGTACCCGTAACTTCGCGCGGGTTCCCAAACTCGGCCAGGAAAGCCCAAACCTCTTGCTTCCTGCAACTACAGGCAGAAAGCATTTCACCAAAGGGCTTCTAGGACGGCTGGGCTGTGCGAATAAGACCTCTCACTACGAAAGCACATGGTTGGCTTATGTGCCCTACCCTCGCGCTTTGACCTAGAGGTGAGGCCATGAACATCAGCACAACGACGACGATTATCCTTACTGCTGGTATCACCACCCATGATGGCGATTCGGATGATGATGATGATGATGATGGTGATGGTGATGGTTATGGTTATGGTGATGGTGGTGATGATGACGAGTGTGATGATTATTGTTGTCATTGTGTTTACTGACAGTAATGCGCTATTACTGCATCATGGCCATTTGAGATTTCATGTTTATCGTTTTCTTATCTTCATTGTTGATTATTGTCACTATTGTTTTTGGCATTGCTACTGTATTTGTTGTCCAAGGCCATTATTTCTTCCCCACACAGCATGGGGTTCTTGCCTACAGGGTAAAGAGGCCTGGATCACTGTGTCACCGAAGCAACGCACACGGCCGCCCCGCAGCTCCCGCTGTGGATGCACCCTCCACATGCCGGAGGCAGTGCAAAATCCAATGTCTCGGCACTGGCGAACTTGACAAGCCGAATTTCTGCTAGAGTGCTGTGCACATGTGTGAGTGCTTTTGGATGGAAATCGTGCTCCCGCCAATGTCCCGTGCCTATTTGCCTTCAAGTCACTCGAAGCCCTTCAACGTCCTTGCAGGGCTACGGCTTTGGAAATTTGTGCTGTTGGCAATCGACGTTTTTATTTTTGCGCCTCCACACTCCACCCACTGTTTCGGTCATGCATTGTCCTGTTCGGACGAGGACGCCCTCGCACCGGCTTCCCACTCGCAGTAGTCAGTCGTCATACTATAGCGATGTTCGAAACACGGGGGAAATTTGCGCCATGTGGTCTCAGTGCTTTTACTTCTGTTGTGCCAGTTGTCGCCAGCAACGCAAGAATTCTTGATAATAGCACGGCCAGAGCATGCCTAGCCGGCCGCGATGCCTTGGAGTCTTTTGCTGGGGATGTCAGAGGGTTTCGAAAAAGCTGTCCCGTGGGTCCTGGAAGGCTTCTGTATGTAGAGGAGAACCGGTAAATTCAGGTTGGGGGACCTCGGCTCGCAACATTTAGACAAGCCAGCATGATGGTGCATTTGTATGCTTGGATAAGCCAGGCGAAGCTTGATGGGAGCTTTGTGCACATCATCCTCCGCATGAAAGGGCTCTGACTTTTAAGCGGTTCTTATTGGGCTGTTCTTGCGGTAGGGATCCCACTGGTTGGGTCTACTGGCAAACCCCTTATATTTTCCGCTGGTTCTCAACTGTGGACTTGACTACAATGCCGCCGCATGCTGCACCAATCGTGCTCCATGGTAGAGCTGGTAGTATAGTATACTATACTTGATAAAGAAGTTTGTATATATGTATGTATTTGCTACCATTGCAACATGACAGATCACATCGAGCAAGGATTCAGGACAGCTACCTTCACCTCGCTCACAAATTCTCAGCTTCGTAGCAAATAGTTACTAGTTTCAACTAACACACTGATGTCGCGCATCGTGTGCGAGGAACCATGCAGCCGTACAGCCCTTATCCACAGCCCTGCCGAATGTGTTTCCTCAATTCGCCATGGCAGAGACGCCGAGTGCCACTGGCACCACGGATGCGTCGCATGCTGAGGTTGAGCAGTGACTCAGGTATTCGGCCATGCAGGCAGGCCCTGCAGTGACGACTGGAAAGTCAAGGAAGAAAGCAGAGCAATGGGGGTGTCAGGGCCTTCAAAGATTGTTGCCAGCCGCTGTCAAAGCAATGGACACTGCCCTGCGAGCCTCAGACTCCACTAGTCTGGCAGATGGACACCATGCAACGACGGAAGCAGAAGCTTAGATCACCCAACCGTTAGACTGATGCTGAAGCTGGTTCGGGATGGTGTAGAGCCCCGCGTCAAGCTTCGATAAGTCCGCTTCCGTTTCAAACTATTTATGATGCACATTTTGGGCAATGGCCGTTGTTCGGATTGCATACTGATAGTAACTATGGCGATGAAAATGGTGGTAGTTGTGGTGATGATCTTGCTGCAAATTATGGTGATGAAGATGATGATGGCAGCACTGGAAGACAAATTGATTCATAGGGACCCTTAAGGGGGTAGGGGAGGGGGTATGGGACTATACTTCGTTAAATAAGCCTTATTAAGGCCTTATGGGTGTGAAGGCAAAGGGTCCCTATGATTAGTGGTGATGACGGTGATGCTGATCATGTTGCTTCTGACCCTTGTGATGATGATGGCGGTGCTGATGTGGTGCTGGTCATGATGAGGATGAGGATGATGGTGGTGGTGGTGGTGACCCTCATGATTTCCATCGTCGTCACGGTGGTCGTGGAGCTTGAACAGATCACTTGTTCAGGCTGATTGCCTGGAAGCCTCCTAATGAGCGACTCACTTGCAAAGGCCTGGCAACCGGGTCCCGCAATGCCAGAGACTTCTGCGCCCGGCTTATTCAAATTTGGCTGGGCTTGAGGGTTCTGCAGGGCGAGGCGTTTTCGTATTCCGGAGGCTGAAGGTAGCACAGATACGGCGTGCAACTTCCGAAGCAGTGAAAGCCCAACTCACTGAATGTGTACAGCGGCAGGTACAGTGCATCGCTCGATCATACCGCGAAGTTTCACCCTAGATCACGCGAACGGAGGAGGCCGAAGCACAGTCCCGAGCGCCTCGAAACCAAGACTGCCGCTACTCAACCTTCATATCCCGAAGAGTCCGAAGAGCCGAGAAGCGCGAAAGCCCCAAGGTGCATGGGAGGGCCCCTTCTGGAGGTGCGGGCCGAGGCAAGGGGCGCACTGGATCACAAGTGCGCTTGCTGGCAATCGGCAAGCTATCAGCACATATCAGCGCAACAGCGGCAACCGCACAGGCGACACCAACTCTAGGAGCAGAAGCTGCATCGTGAATCGTCAGACTCCTAACCTAATCCCAGTAGAGGGTACTTCTGTCCTGTAAGAGTTTTGCAGCTGCGGAGGTCGAATTTTCAGTCCGGTTCGGTGCGAGGGTGCTGGCAGTTTTAGGTTTGCATGGGACTGCGTCATCTGTCAGCGGCAGGTGCCCAAGGCATTTTTGGAGGAGCACCTCGGCAGCAGAATACACGAATGAGCGATGCTGGAGTGTGGAGAAAACAAAGCGTCGCACAGTTGCCGATGTTTTGGGAGTGGAATGTGCATGCAGTCGCGTGGGTAGGGAGCCAGGCGAAAGTTCAGCAAGATGTGAAGCCAAGAGTCAGGAGTATACGGCAGTAGAGTTTGAATGAAGGGGCTGACGAATTCGTGTCGCTTCACGCCATGACACAGAAGACACTGTGAGCCCTTGTGCTTCGAGTCGGTACCGAGGTACAAGCTGCGACCGAACGCCGCCGCGACCCAAGCAGGTTACCTGAGCATTGCTGGATGGCGTCGTAGTAGTAGTGGGACAATCCAGAGCCCCGATGCTGGAAAGCGTTGCGATGCAAAACTCGGTTGGTATCACGATTGACTTTTCAGGGAGATGGCGAATAGTGTCAGGCTTTCGTCAGAGAGGATGTAGTTCTTCAGCCGCAGGACCATTTTCTGGTACTACAGTACTTGCGGCGTCCATCAACAACCACCCTACAGGATACGTTGATCATGCTGATAAGTCAAGTTCCGCGGTGTCAGAGAGCTTGATTTCGACTGCCCAGGTCTTGCAAGTGGAGGGCCGCCTCCTTGGTGATACTGTTATCCCTGAATTGGCTCTCATTGTTGCTGATGGTCGTGATACGGATCATGATGGTGATGCGAATGGTTGCCCACACAAACGCCATGCTTCGGCTTCCCTGTCCATGCACGTTTTGATTCTAGAGCGTTCAAGTTCATGAAGAGCTATTGCAACACAAAAGAAACACGCCAAGGTCACATGCAGTCTATGCTCACAGAGATGAGTCGCCTGACCAGCGAGGCCAGAAGGAGGAATGCGAGGCAATTAGAGGTTTTGGGCTTTGTGTAGCCTGCCTCTTTCAAATTTACAGTCATCGGGCTTGTGGTGCAGCCTGCGGCTTCGAGATCAATCGGAGTGTCTTGGTCGGTTCGGAGGCTGTGGCAAGCAATCAAACCACTAAGCGACTGGCCTGAGAAGCTACGCCTATCTATTGGCAGCGATAGGTATTCAGCTCTCTTGCCCCCGATGCCAAAGTCCTTTCGGCATGTTCAGTGATGAGGGGCCAAGGCAGTTGAGGAGGGTTTACTAAGAAGTCATGTTTTCAGAGCTCATAGAGTGTATAAAGAGCAATGTATACAGACTTACGTGAATTTTTCGGGCTACTTGCTGTCTCGAAACCCCACACCATCGAAAAGCTTGTCACATTCAGTCCAATCATAGTCCATGCCTTTTCACTTCCTGCACGCGGCATAGGAGCATACTGGTGAGAGTTTTTGCATGTATAAGGTGTAATGTCCATTCGCGGTGGATGTTTGTCTGGCAGAGCCGAAAGTGAGAGAAGAAACATGACAAGGGAATTTGAGAAAAGAAGAGACCTTGACAATACAGTAGTATACGTTTTGGATAAACTCCATGAGCTCCTACATGAGGAATCTCTAACTTTAAGAAGCCCTTCAAAGAGGGAAGGACTGTCCGTCCAGGCCGGCCTAGTGCTGGAATATGCAGCTACGGGTGGGGCGACGAACACCGCGCTCGCCGTGCAGGCAGCGGCATGCCCTCCAACGATTCCAGAAGGGGGCTAAAGAGCGACATGCCTTCCGTGCTCCTGGAGTAGAGCTGGATTTGCAAGGTTCCTCCGCCTGGTCTTCTGTACCAGGGGCTAACAGTCCGAAGCTTCTCGGTAGTCTTAGTGGCCTTGCACTTGACAGTTTGCTTGCCAGCTGTCCCATGTTTCGGCCATGGCAGGCTTTGCTGCAGCAGGACCTTGGCCCGATGTCGTCGGAGGCCCCGCGCTATTCGTTTATCCGCTTGTGACATAGCTGCTGGGTCCGAGTCGCAAGCAGTTGTTCTTAGCTGAGCATAACAACTCTCACGAGAACCCCTTGCTATGCCTGCGTTCTTCTTCAACCCTCCGCACATGCCACGATCATCGGTTGATCGCCAAGCTTGCCTTTTCCACTTCTTCGGAGGCAAGTGGTCGTTCGCACCTTGAGCCATAGCATGACCAGGCCATTCGGCGGCAGACGCCTATCGTTTCCATCCTTGGGGGCGTCGGCCGAGACCAGCTAGGCAAGCAGGGCCTTGGGCTGGTTTCGCTCATGCGACAGCTTCACGTATTGAACAGGGATCTAAGGAGGTGGTAGTGCCTGTGGCTGTGCTGGTGCAGATTATGTCCCTCTCCTTGGGCCGGAATCTCAATTTTGCTGCAGGTTACAAGCTGCAAGACTACCTCAAAGAGGCTGGTTTCCAGGTTTCAGTTTGCATGCACAGTCGAACTGATCAGCTCGTGTCATTTCTTGCTATCAGACCCTTCAGCCCCCAACAGATGCAATCAGGGCCTGACAGACTCGGTTACTAGGCTTGGCGTTGCGGAACGGTTCTAGTATCCTAGGCAATGGGATCTTGGCGTCGCTCGGTTTGTCGCAGACTGGCATCCAGCCGCTCTTTTCGGAGATCGTCTCGGAGAGTACTGGCTGGACTGCCGGGGCTCCCGGCTTCCCAAGTTGCTACTTTGACAACAAACAATGTTTTGGCAGAGGGGACCTGATCCACGCACACACCGTGCTGCCTCATCCGGAGCACTGCTCATCCCTGATCCATCTCAAAATCATTGAAGCGTGCTACGTCGGATAGCTAGTTGTAAAGGAGCGTAGAAAGAGACCAGACGGTGACATACTCTTAATGCTGAGCTTGGTGACAAGTTGCGCCAAGTCTGAGTGAATCTCATTCACAACGTTCATCCGCATCGTCGAGGCTTTCTTGTGTGCCAGTCGCCGGGAGAGGGCCGCAGACAGGCAACGCAGTCAGGGTTGTTGGAGGCTATACTGAAATTTCGGTATTTGCGTAGAAATTGGTGTGGGCGATCCATGCGCAGTCATGGGATGTCATGGGCAGTCTTGAGGTGCTCAGTCACTGCAAGCCGAATGCTTCATGCTTAGTGGCATAGTTAAGCATCTTGTCGCCCATTACAAGGATGACAGTGGTTTGTTTCGGTCATCGAAGGACTGGGCATCCGGTACGAGATGATACAAGTGTGTTCACAGTCGGACTCTTGCTGTTTCGCTCGTTTCAACCTCGAGTCCTCGACTTACAAACGGACATGGTCGGACATGAAGCATACTTCAACATGTTACAGAAACGATTCTCGGCTTCGGCGCAGATGCAAAGGACCGCCGGAAAGAGTTGTGTAAGCCGTACAAGAGCTCTTAAATTGAGGCAAGTCAAAGCACGGGGGTTCCTTTGTGAACGTGAAGAGATAATATCTGCCCTTTCAGACAAGCGGTTGAGATTCGTGGAAAATTCGCAGTATTGATCGCTGGCCTGGTTCAGCCGAGCCTTTGCTGAAGCACTGCTTTGGCCTAAAACGTAAACCCCGAAACCCGACAGGAATTCGGCCAGCCAGTACTTCCTAAACAATCTCGACCCCGTTGAGGCAATTGCAATATTGAAGCACAGCTCAAACACTGCCAATCACACTCTTCATGTGAGCTGCATGATCGGCTGGTGGAGCCGCTGCCCTGAACGAGCATGCCTGGCCTAGAGTATCGGAACGTGAGCTCCGAAACCAATGAAATACCGCATTTTCTTGTTGCGACGTTTGCATACTGCAGCAGACTCGAGCATACAGTTCATACAGCTCCCTGACCTTTGCAGGCCTGCGTTGTCGTCGCAACCCAGTGAGGCCCAGCTGGGTTTCGGAAGTTCAACTGCCAGCTCTATGCACACGGGCTCAGGGTTTGGTTTCAGGTTTGAGGTTCAGCAAGTCAGAGTCTCAAAGGCCTGCAACACGAGATTCTTTCAGGTTTTCGGCTCGCAGGCTGGGCACCATCCTGATCCAGCGAGCGACCTCTTGTGACAGCAACAATAAACGACAAGAGTACGACTATGATCAGAGCAATTGTTGCCATTTTCGTCTGTAGCAATGCTAAAAGAGCTGCTACAGGCAACAAGCGAACTGCGGTATCCGAACCCTTTCAGCCGGTGAGGAGAAGGTCGATGGCTCTGCCAAGCTTGCTGTGGTCTACCGCGCAATTCAGGTACCGGCCTCATGCAGTTGGACCGGACGGTGCAGTTGGCATACCAAGTCGTCCCAGCAGTCACGGCAGCAGCAAAAGCAACACCGAAAAGCAGGGAAATGTCATACGAATCATAAGTTCGATCTTGAACTGGCACAAAAAACAGTGCTAGTCGTAGAAATGAACGATGTAAGTTGCGTAACATGCACTATGTTCTGTACACAGACCGTACAGTCGCAACGACAGGAATACCAGTGGCAACGTTAAGGTGGTGAAAACAATGGACTACTATGTACTACTGATAGTCTGAGACTGGCGGGCGGTACGAAAGAGCTGGACACGTGGCAAGCCGTCAGCATCACAGAGACGATCAAGCCCACATGTAGTTGCAAGAAACAACACTGCAATGCCCGTTGATCTCAGAACCACGAATCTGGCTCAAAATTATGCCTCACCCCATTTGGAGTCCAAAGAGACATGACAGGTACGCATGCATGTCTGTGTGAGTCACTGTATGGGGGCATGTACATATGCATGCAGTATGCATGTCTGCATGTAACCGTATGTATGCTTGTATGTACCTATGTCGCATGCCTAACCCTTCCCCCAATCCGACACACTCAAACGCCCCGAACCCCAAGAGTTTGCTCTGGATTAGAATACTGACAGTGAGGAACGACGCTTAAAGTTCTTCAGCTGCCCTCAAGGAACAATGAACCGGTTAAACTTACGTTGTCAGCTTTGGAAAGACAGCCCGTCGTCTGCCCCGATTGCCCTACTTTGATTGTCAGGCCGGAGCCGCCAACCAGTCGAGACCTCAAAGGGGTCAAAAGAGCTTACGAGGGCACGGTTTGGGACATGCCTGCTAAGAGCTATTTGGGCAGCTCAGAGCGTGGTGAGCTTTTTGTCCGTTTCTTGAAGAGACACTGTCCGACGGTGTGCAGGGGGGTTTGCTTCGTAAGCATCACTAATGGGTCGTGTGTGGAGTTGACGTTCCATATTGTGTCCACCTCAGAGTGCACCCGAAGACCGGTCCCGGACAGATGCGAAGGTACAAGCTGGACCACTTGCGCTTCAAAATTTGGGAGCAGGTGGAAGCGGCGGGGGTCGTCTACGCAGAGGCTGGTTGAGACAGTGTTGAGACTGCATGGCCGTGTTGGTGTTTGGTATGGGGCTGAGCGATTACGATGCCGTGCAGAAGCATCCGCGCTTGGGCCATTTCGAAGTATTGTGCTTCATTGCTGGAGAGGATGTTAGGCGCTAAGGGAGGGACTAACGATGGCTAATATTCTTCACGGTTGATGATCGGGCTGCGACTCTCCGCTACATCGTTTGGACCACTGCCCACCATCTTCGACATCACCTGCATTTGTGTCAACAGTCGATCCGTGATCTTCATTTTCTTGATCCTCATCTTGCAGGCTTGTGGTGTCCTTTGTTTTTGTTGTGATGCAAGTTCATTTGCCTGGCTTGCGGGGCTGTGCCTATACCAACTCAACGTCCCATCGCGGCCTTCGCTGCAGGCGACCTTTCTGACCGTCTCCTTCGAGAGCGTAAAGATTTTGGCGGAGTTCCCCACTCAGTTTCGTGCACCGTGTGAAGTTGCAGGCTTTGATGTGTTGGGTCGTCGTAGTCGCTCGGGATTAAATCTCCGACAGGAGAGACTTCGGGCCTAGGGTGACGGGGGCAGCTCACATGCCCCCAGAACCCCAAGAGTACTGCTGCAGGCAAGACGGGATGCAAAAGTCATTGCTGCTGTGAACTGGCAACTGTTTCTACGGCCAGCACTATTATTTCAAACACAGGCGATCACTGCCATGATATGATTATGGAAATGCAGTTATTGTCGTGGCCCAGCAGCACGATGATGAGGGCATGTTGCTGCCCTCACTGCAAGCGAACGTCGAACAGCACTCTGGAGTGTTGTGAAGGTTTTGAGAGAGCGCTGCGCAATGTTCTACATCATGAAGCACCCACTGCATCGTCCACTTATAAGTCAAAGGACGGATTCAAATTTCACATTGCCGAAACCCATGACATGATGACTTGACGGTTCACATCGCATTTCAACCTGAAGCTTTCGCCAAGGCATTGCGCGAAGATGGGTAATACCTTCTGCCTGAACCTCTCGGCACCATACGTGTGCCGATATTTCGGCGACCGGATACTGACGGTGCGGACCCGAGAGCCAGGATTCAGTTTGACGTCGCCAATCATGGCATGCTACTGGAGACGTTTGGGTCGTTTCTCCTCTTCATCCAGTAAACGGAAACCTTGGTCACCTAAACCCCGCACCCGGCGATGCGAGACTGCACAGAGGGTGAACTGCGTCTCAAGCAGAAACACCTTCAGAATCGGAAGGCCCGGCTCCAGTGAATGCAGGTCATGCCTTACACGGACTTCGTCTTCGGCTCCGAGACCGCATCCCGCCAGCGTTTTGCCCATGTCCCCCGCATGGGAAGCTTGGAGGGGACGGGGGAAGGGGGGGGCACATATGCACCAGGCTCGCAGCAGCCGGCCCCGGAACATCAAGTTTCAAAGTTCAGAGTCTTGCGGTTTGATGGTTCTTTGATGTTCTTTTGGAGATCGATTCTGGTTTGGAGTTCGTGGCCACTCAGCATGGTCTCATGGATGCCTGTCTGCTGTAATGTGGGTTCGGGGTTGCGATCATTCAATGACTTTATTAAGGGGAGACACGCTTTGTCGGTGCACCTGGCGTGAAGGTGTACAAAACATGGGTTTAGGAGTGGCAACCGTCGTAGGTCGTACACCACAATTCCTTACAATGGCGACCTCGCAAAACCACGTGGAAGAAGCTCGCGGCACCCCCAATGCGCAAAAGCCAAGGAATACATGGCCCTTGCGGAGCTGAAGAAGACCGAGGGCCTTGCTCAGGCGCCTCTCAGCAGTCGCCTTCAGCGTTTAAGTGCTCGCTTCTACAATAAGACCCGTAAGAAGGCAGATAGAAGGCCAGCGAAATCACGGTCTTGTGGTAAGGATGCGACTTGGCAAGCACGTTGTGTAGGATCGTACCGGGGTCTACAGTGTACAGACGAGACAGCACCAACTAACCTTAGCTGGCTGGTTCGAATGGATGTCGTGAGTTGATATTGATATTGTTGCTATGGATATTCGATGGTATTCGTGTACAGCATAATATGACTAGGGTTAGGGCGTTTCCCTCTGAAACAATCCTGTGCCTCGCCTGCCTGCGAACAGGACGTGGACTCTGCACGGAGCTCAGTGATACTGACCGAGATGCTTTTGCCTCTGCAGTGAAGATGATGTGCGATGTGCGACGATTTCCAAAAGAAAGAGGTTCCCATCTCCCTGCCGTTAGCGCCCCGGCCTTCTCAGTTACCCAACTGCCCAGGCAGGTGTGACTCTTTCATCGCACTGTAGCCTCCTCGCAGAGGGGCCGTTTGAAGCAAAAAGCGTCTAACCCCTCTGAAGGGTTAGATGAGGTGGCGACTTGGCTCGCCCGGATGCCACGCTCCGATGGCGAAGTCGAGCGTCGACGGCACATTGCATCTTGGTCCCAGTTTTGAGGTTGTGCGGAGAATCTGGGGAATTTAGGGGGTAGAGAGGTAAGCTCAGCAGTATATTGTGGTTTGTAAGCTCAGCAGTATATTGTGGTTTTTTGTTAATGCTGAAGATGTTTCCATCACTAGGCATGTCACCCTTAAAGACCCATCACAGAAAGACAGGAATCGAACAGCCCCAAGTCCCGATTCCTCAATCGGTGGATCATCCAGTTCCCAAAAATCAGACCTCCTGGTTCGAAGTTCCACCTGGTAGAATCCTAGAGCGGTTTATTTCAATCAGTGGTGCGATCATGAAGACCCCGTGCCTGCGGAAGTTGCCAAAGAGGTCGTCACGTGTGGCTCACGTCCTGCGCTTGTCGCTTCAACATGGCGCGGCTATGGCGTCGGGATCCCCGGCCCGCCTGAGGTTGAAAAGGGGGTTCTTGAAGTTAGCGTCTCGGAAGGGTTTCCTTTCGTCAGGGTACCCGGCAGTCGCAATAGGCCTGGATGCAAACGCGTCTCGGAAAGTGTCCTAGGAAGGAAGGATGGCAACAAGGAATGGAGTCGAAGAGGGGAGGGATCCGTTAAAACTCATAGGCACTGCTGCGCTATGCGTGGTTCGTTATGCTGTTCGCAATCACTTGCAGTAAGATCACGTAGCAATATGTCATCAGATAATTTCGTACGCAGTCATCCAAGGACCTACGACAGAGTGAGTCGTAATATAACTGTAAATTGTAACCGTGTACTGTCTCTCTGAAATACAACTAACTACCCTCGAACAGCCATTCAGCGGTCTAAAGTCGGTGCCCAAGGCTATCAGTGCCCAGCACGCCAAGACTCTAACAACATGGGCCATGCACAAACGGCCATGGGAAATCGCCCAGCACGCCCTTCAATACTGTACGTAGCAGGTGAAAGTGCAAAGATTTCCGGTGCCACCCGTGGGGAGCCCAGGGTTACCAACGCTTGCTCGAATGTCCTTGGTGGTGGAGTCGGAGTGTAGGATTTAGGGCGAGAAGTTCTTGCACCGAGATCTATAGCGGCGTACAGCAATGGGAATGATGATTTATTGTGCAACTTGCGTTGGAAAGTCTTTGAAAATCGCCGTCATTACGTACACACACACGCACACACACGCACGCGCGTGCTGGCATTCCGGGTCGTCTCGATGTGCAGATTCCCACCGAGACACTGCGACCACTGCTAGCGCACGCTTGCTCCTTCGGCGGGTGTACTTCTTTGTTTGGAGGTGGTGGCCTCGTCGTGAGCACTTTCTTGACAGTTTCCAGTGGACTCGACGTCCTAAAGCGAATAGGTGCCTGTCGCGACAAAGGACAGCTCGTGCCTTGTCGCTGAGTGATTACTTCAGGACATCTAGTAGGCTGCGAAATAGATGAACTTTTATCAGAGCCGCCGACTTCCGCTCAGCACAGAACCCCGATCCCAAGGTCCGCAGCCGCAGTTTCGTGCGGAAAGATGGGGCCGGAGATGCTTTTGCAGGCTTCAAGAGCACGGTCTGGCCAGCGGTGTCGATGTGAGACAAAATGAGGATTGATTGCCTTGGCAGATCCGAAATGCACCCAGAGACTGGGTCACAAAAGCCTGATGCGAAGCGCAGGTGGATTCTTGTACGGGCTGATGCATGAGGCCACCTTGCTGCGAACCGGGGTATTCATCCATAGCAAACCTGTCTCCTAATGGCTTCAGCTTTGACATAGGCTCCGGCTCCGCCGGGAAAGACCTTTTCGGCTCGATGCAGAGTTGCAAGTTGCAAGTTCATTTGGGTTCAGGTGCTTTCGTTAGTGGGGGCTCCCTGAAAAAGTGCCCCGCACCTCGGAGACGGTGTTCCTCAGCAGACCCTGGTTGCAAAAATTGCGTTTGACGGTTGTTGTTGCAGTAAGGTTGGCTCAGTGTTTCCCAGACCCAGACATGCACTCTCTCCTTGTCTCCGGCCAGCGACGAAAGCACTGCGTAAATCATCCAACCCCACCTGAGCACTGGCGATTCAATCGCTTCCTTGTGGGAGTCAGAGGATATCGCGCTATGTCCAAAGGTGGCATGGAAGCGGTCCAGAGGTTCAGTTTTTTTAAGGACCCTGTTGTTTTGTTTCGCTCGTTCATGCAGGGCTGTCAGACCCAAAAGGCTCGAGCAAACATGGGCTCTGGGATCGACGGCAAATTCGTTGGCAGGCGGATGTGGATAGCTGCGTTCAGCTGGCACTTTATTGCCTGCACCTGAGACCACCCTGCAACAGCACAGGTACCACGAAATACTGAAAGGCAGTGCAGGCACCAGACCCGAGCTGAGAAACTCGTGCCGACATGAACCACGCAGAGCTTGTCTGAATGCTGCTTTGCTCCCAGAGTCCTGAGCCAGGCCGATGTGCTCTTAAGAGACGCTGCAGACTGCCTCTGTAGGTGTATCCCTGTCTCCAAGCTGCAATGATAGAACTCCAAGGTGCCAGCGTTGCTGTGCAGCGGACGGGACCAGGCAGGGGAGCGAAATGAACGGGGCTGGGAAGCTGCGCAGCCTTGCCTGGATTGACGCCGCAGCTCGTGAGATGTCGTGAGTACATTACGGCTTTGCTTCATGGTTTGTTGCACCGGTTTGGCGTTTGCTTGTTATCCTAGAAGGTCGTCGAAGGAGAGATTGCTTTGCACGTTGCTCTGCACGGATATAACCAATCTGTGTAAAGCAATGCGATGTCGTTGCGGATTATGCTTTAGCAGACCTCGGCCAGGCTACTCCTTCAAGGACAAGCCGAGCCTGGACAAGTGAGAAGATATGAGGCCAGCAACGCATTGAAGTGTGGGCTTTAAGGTTCCAGGCCCGAGCGCAGCAGAGGCATGGACGTGTATAAGCTAACTGAAGTGTCAATCCTGAGGCAAACATAGCGCTCGGAAGCATGTGCGGTTCGTGTCGGTGTGACAGTGGGTACTTCTGTGCGCAAGGACTTCCCCAGAGGCACACAGGCAGGGCCGCTCACTGGCTCCACCCATGCGAAACTGGAAGCACTTCTGAAACTCAGTCGCTGCATTCGTATCGGTCCTGGCTTTCGAAGCAGAGGTGCCGGCTGCTTAGTGCTGCATCGGTGCACTTGCTGTTCGGCATACCATCTCGCAGGCTCATGGCTTCGACTTCGCAGCTGCTCAGTGGGAGCCTGAAACCTGGGCTGCCGCAGGCTCGCGGAAAAGATCGGAAAAGATTGGATCAGGCACAATGTGCGAAGTTGGCTTGGGGCATCCATCCGGGATCGCAAGAGACTCTTACATACCTGCAGCCAGAGAAGAAGACGAAGCAAGAACATTCGCCCAATTTCTTTCTGCCCATCTCAACCATGAGCTTGTATCAATACCAAGGGCACCCTGGCAATCGAAGCCAGTCCCACATCTTTGCTCCATCCGAGTGAGTCAGGCCGTGACACCGGCGATGCCGCAGCTTTCAACGTGCTGCTCGAAAGCTTGTAGCCCCGCAAGAACCACCCTTGAGACGCAAGCAGTGCCCCGACACGTGGCTCGGGCATATGCAGGTTCCATGGCTTAAAATTCCAAAATGTAGTAAGAGGAGCATCAGCAGCAGTCAGCAGCCAGCTCTGAACCTAAAGGCCTGTCAGAGGCACAAAAACCATCTGGAAAAGAATGACACCAATATAGTCGCCGGGTAGCCGAAGTGTGCACTTCTCGTGAAAGCAGATGCATGGATCTCGCAATAGGAGTTCGTAGCCGTTTCTTCCTCTGCCACAATGCAATGGCCGTGAGAGCTGGAGCTTTGGAAGGGAGCTGCCGAGGACAGGCCATCATGAACCACGGGCCGATGCACAGATTGACTCCGAACAGAGACCATACCGAGCACGAGATCGTAAAGAGCTAGAGACTTTTGAAGAGACCATGCCGACACAAGTAGCATAATCGCTTGCAGTGACTCCTTCGGGCATGTGCGAGAGAGCGTGCGAGAGGGAAACGCAGAGATTTGACGTTGAGTTCTGATGCTGCGAGGTTCGCCGCGGCAGTCACGCTTGATGCGTGAGCTTCGCATTTAGCTCCGCGAAGTAAAAGTACAATTTGCTGTCAGTAGTAGTTCAGTAGCACAGCTCATTCTTGTCCGAAGACTTCGATAAGGCCAGTCACCACGCCCATTTTTTCCCAGATATTCTGGAAAAAGCTGCGCAGCACCCACGGTCACCACAGGACGAGG